AAGGGAGAGGCTTCGTCAATGGGTCGGCAATATTATCATCTGTCGACACTCTGCTTATCTTCACGTCTCCTCTGTTGATGATTTCTCTGATCAAGTGAAATCGCCTGAGTATGTGTTTGGATCTCTGGTGTGACCGGGGTTCCTTACTTGCACAATCGCACCATTGTTGTCATTGTACAACTCAATGGGGTCTGCAATGCTAGGAATAACGCCCAGGTCTCCCACGAATTTTCTGATCCAAACAGCTTCCTTAGCTGCATCCGATGCTGCTATGTACTCGGCTTCTGTAGTCGAATCTGCCACGGTTGGCTGTTTGGAACTCTTCTAACTGATAGCCCCACCGTTCAGGCAGAAAATATAACGTGATTGCGATCTGAAGTCATCTCTGTCGGTTTGGAAACTAGCATCGGTATAACCCCTTATAGCGAGCTTGTCTTCCAATCCGCCTGATGTCGCAAATCTAGGTGAATAAATTTCGATCAAGTGATAAATTCCTAGACTCAACAAATTCCGCAAGTGTACAGATCGTGTGTAGCAATTAGGGTCGAACGCAGGGACAAGTAAACAACTGAATCAGATTCCAATCCAAATCTAGATCTAGAGAAAATATGAGAATGTGATGAAACGTGATAAATCAAATAACGAAAAGCGGTTGTACTATGAATGATAAACACTGCAGGCTTTGGGATTGCTTTACATGCAAGGGTCTTTCAAAAGATGCAAACTCAGTGGTTTATCTATCCGATTCAGGGAATTCAAGCTCTAAAGTAGAGATTAACCCTCTGAGTCTAACCTCACTATCCAGGCTTTATCCTACTAATCTCTCGATTCAATAGTCTAAAACCCTGATGCATGAACGAACGCTATCATAATCCCTAGGCAAATATTCATCTCTCGATGCAATACCTGTTCTATTTATTGAGTTATTTCCAGGTTAGAATCTCATATGTCTATGCGAATTAAAACCCTAAGTTCATTCAATCAAGTGTCCAACAAGATCAAACGCATTAAACGCAATTCAATAAACCGAATAGAATAAATAAAACCACAAAGTCTGGAATTAAAAATCAAAGATCCCTACATAGCAAATCCCTAACCTACAGCGAAAGAACTACTCGCTAAACATCGAGACGTCAGGGTTCATATCAATAATACAAGACATCGTAAAATAGAAGAAAGGAAGAATGCTTAGTCGATTTCCCGGCTTCGTAATTTCCGTCATCTATTCCGATCTCTTGCCTCTTGATAATCGTCCCCTTTTATGTGCTCTATGGTGTATTCTCTGTGTAAAGCTTGAATCATTTTCGACCTAGAGGCTTTCCCCTCTTATTTCACTTCGGTTTGAAAAAAATTGGAAGTTTTCCCGAATCTGGGGGTCGAACCGATCGTTTCGGCAAGGCCAAACCGATCGGTTACATGTTTGAGCAATTTTCCAATTTCTGCGATGCCGAACCGATCGTTTCGCTAAACCCGAACCGATCTTGTCGTGTTTCTGAGCAGTTTTGACAGGCTTCACGAATTCGCTCATAACTTCCTGCTCAGATATCAGATTTGGGTGATTTTGGTGTCTATGCGTAGATATCGAAGAGAGCTTTCCAATGATGTAGAGAATGTATGATTTGGACTTGTAGAGTGAAAGTTATTAGACTTTCAAGATCTGACATTTTCTGAGCTTCACGTTTTCCCTGGAGACACTCCAAATGTTCCCGATTCGTTCGTGATGTTCCGTTTTCCATGTTTTCCACTCCTTTTGCTCTCTTTATGTATGAATTCCTGTTTAAACACTAAAGAACAAAACCATGCAATATCGAAGCCAAATGTGCCCTAGAATGTCTACAGATATGTAAAAAGAGTGAAATACGTTAGACATCCTATATCAAAACGTCACCCAAAATACGTATTATCAAAGTCCCCAGACTTTAACCTTTGCTCGTCCTCGAGCAAATACTCCGTGAAAAACAATCTGAAAGGAGGGCGAGACAATGACATAACTCAAAATGATAATCGAGAGCGAAACCTCTATCCGACCTAGATCCCCGTGAACAATGATCAAGTCTGTCTAATATGATCTCCCTCTCTAAAGGATAATCTTTCCTAGCCATGGGATCTATACCGCTACTTAGAACTAATCCAAGAACTTCAATCATCTACCAAGCATGTTTCTCGAACCTATTACACTATTCTACCTAATCGTGTCTAGTCTACACTTTCGGTATTCATTCTTTTTATCTTTCTCTCTCTTTTTTTTTAGCTAGACTTTATCTTTTTTTTCTTTTGCTAGTATCTCGGGTTCCTAGGACGTTGAAGTTGAAGGGTTCCTAATCAATTTTGTTTTCGATTTTGTTTATTGGATAACCCGACCCACAACTTAGACCCGAACCATCAAATCGATGCACTCATGTCCTCGAACGATTTTCGTTGACGAGATAATGACAGCGGAGTGTCGAGATGCTCACTATCTTTTTCTGCACATGAAGAAATAAGAATGCATTTGATAACAAACATTACCGATTTCAGCAAACATGGGAAAGGTTCTTATAGAAACTTCTACTTGGCTAGACAACATCGGTCCCACGGATTCCAACCAACGATTTCTACCCCACAAGCCATTCTAGAAAATCCTAAAGGTCAAGCAATCAATTCGATAAAACTTAGCCACGTTCAACGGATCACCATGTTTTCAAGATGTTTCTACTCTCTCATGCCATAAATCATCACATCAATGCTCAAAACGGGTTTTATGCACGTGATTTTATATATCCTAAACACTATATGTAAATGTATAGTCCTAAAAAAACAAACTATATGATCCTAGAACATTCTATATGCACATGCAACTAAAAAGTGAAAATAAAAGAAGAAAAATGCATGCAACACTACTCTATATGGATATGGTTTGGCGTTAGACGAATCCTCCCCCAGACTTGAATTAGACACTGTCCTCGGTGTCAATTCTCATCTAGTAGAGGCAACCGATAAGATGAGTCAAGAGAGAAGTAAATCAAAAAGAGAAAAGAATACTTAGCTCGCGACGTTCGTTCACTCGCACTTAAGTCTGCCTACGTCTATCACATAGCTAGCTTCCTTGCCTCCTCGATAACTCCTCATTAGAACTCAACCTGGTGATAAGAACACAAACGAATATCCGATGCAAAAAGAAAAAGAAAGGGAAGAAAAACTAACCTAAGAACTCGGGTTGCCTCCCAGAAGCGCTTGTTTAAGGTCGTTAGCTTGACCGAACCTTCTCAGTTACCATACGGGTCTAACAGGCGAAGATTATCGATCTGTCGCCAACCTGGATCATGAAGTGTATGAGAATGGTGGTGGTCTGATAGACTAGTGACCTGTTGAACTGAGTGAGAGAGGTCGTGAGCGCCCATGCGAGATGAAAATGAGGCATTGTATCGTGCTGGGATCTGAAGTCCGATAGGTTAGAGAATGTAGAACCGATCGGTTCCAAGTTCTGTAACTCCGAAGCTCGAAAGGGATGCTCGAACCGATCGGTTTCATAATGCGACACGATCGGTTTGAGTTTCTGTAACTTTTTGCTTCGAACTCTGTTTTCAAAACGATCGGTTGAAGGTCGTGAACCGATCGGTTCGACTTTCTATAGAATTTTGGCTTTGAGATCATGTTTAAACCGATCGGTTTCCTGGCCTGAAACGATCGGTTCATACTTCTGAGCAGTACTGTCGAATGTGTTGATGAAGCAAGCAAATTCTGTTGATGACGATTGTTTGATATTTTTGTCCAAAGTGAACTCCACCGTCTCATCTCCAATCTTCATTGTTAGTCTACCTGCTCTAACATGGATAACAGCATCTGCAGTGTTAAGGAATGGACGACCAAGAATGATAGGTACCTTAGAGTCTTCGTCCATATCGAGAACCATGAAATCAACCGGGATATAGAAATTTCCGACTTTCAGCGGCACATCCTCGAGTATCCCAATGGGGTATTTGACAGAACGATCGGCAAGTTGGAGAGTCATTCTAGTGGTTTCAGCTCACCCACATTCAGCTTCTTGAAGATCGATAATGGAAGAAGACTGACGGCAGCTCCTAGATCACAGAGTGCACGATCGATGGAAATATTACCCAATTTACAAGGGATTGAAAAGCTACTTGGATCGGACCGCTTAAGCGGGAGCGGATCAAAGCGCTGCATTCGGCAGTAAGCGCCACAGTTTCTTTCTCATCGATCCTCTTCTTGGTCAGAATGTCCTTGAGGTACTTCGTATATGAGGGAATATGCAAAATAGCATCAGTGAATGGCATGGTTACCTCGAGTTTCTTTAGCATCTCAACGAACTTCGCGAATTGGCTATCTTCGTTGTGCTTCCTCAGGCGAGATGGAAACGGTACTGGTGGTGGTCTAGGAGGAGGAGGCACGTAAGCTGGCTCAGGTGTATCATCAATAGTGTCTAAAACTGTGGATCTCGAGCTATCGCCTTGCTCAACCATCGGTACATGTGCACGAGGGTTAGTCTCAGAGTTACCTGGAAGAGACCCAGATTGTCTTTGAATGGCTGATGCCAGCTGAGCAATCTGGTTGTCTATGTTCTTGAAGTGAGCCTCGATGCTTGCGAACTGAGCTCGAAATTCCTGATTCGTCTTCTCTTGACTCTGCAAAAACTATATAAGGAGACCGTACGTATCAGGGTTAGATTCTAGATTACCTGGAGATGAAACATTGTTGTAGGATTGTTCCGGAGCTCTGTAGTTGGATGTCTGATTAGGACCCCTGGATTGAAAAGCAAAGCCGGGAGGAATCCTCTGGTTTGAGTTGTTGGATACTCTGAAGTTGTTCGACGTGGGATTCTCAACATTGTTTGACTTGTATGAGAGATTGGGATGATTTTTCCACCACGGATTGTACGCATTCGAGTAGGGGTTATTGGCCACATAGTTCACACCTTCGATTCTCTCATCTAGTGCGTACATACCGAGCTCCTCTTGTGTTGGCGTCGAATGTTCGGTCCTAGAGGATCGAGTGGAATCCTCGAGCTTAGCATAGAGGACAACCAATTGTTCGAGAACCATATGTATGGTTTGATCATTGCCTTTCCTTGGCAAATCTCTAGAGTACTCATTCGGAGCGTCTTCTTCTTGGGCCATCATCTCAATATGTTCTTCTAGCTCAGCGAATGACTTGTTCTGGATGCTCCCACCGCAAGATGCCCGGATCAAGGTCTTGGTATCCATCCTGAGTCCTCAGAAGAAGGTGTTGATTAGGTAGTTCTTATCTAGCCCGTGATGAGGGCAAGACTTTTGATATCCCTTGTACCTCTTCCAAGCGTCATAAAGACTTTCCCCATGATCTTGCTTGAATGAATGAATGCCAGAAAGAATGGCTTGAGTGCGGTGAGCTGGGGAAATTTTTGACATAAACTGCACTTCCAACTGTTCCCAGGTGTGGATTGAATCAGGTATCAAATCATAACACCATTCCAAAGCAGCATCCAGGAGAGTCCAGGGGAAAGCAATTAAGCGAAGTGTATCCTCTTTCACCCTGTTATCTCTCTTGATAGAACGGTACATCATCTTAAAGCAAGTTAAATGTGTGTTCGGGTCTTCGTTCGGCCTACCCCGGAAAGCATTGTTGCCCAACATCTGAATAGTAGACGGGTTCAGCTCGAAACTAGATATGTCGATGGCCGGTAATCGAATACCAGCCAAAAGCTCAGTGTGCTTAGGCGTGTTGTATTGGGCAAAGGTTGAGTCAGCATTGCCTTCGACACCATCAGGAAGAGCAAAATCTCAGTTGTTCTCCATCTGTCTTTGCTGTCGTCGGAGGCGTGTGATGGTTCTTTCAAGTTCAGGATCAAGAGATACTAGGTCTGATATCCCAGAACTCCTAGTCATGCACTAGTGAACCCTACACACAGATGAAAAACAACAGACAAACAAAGAAAACGTGAGAAATC